CGTACCAGAGACCAGATACATTGTACCAGAGACCAGAGACATTGTTCGATAGACATTGTACCGAGGACCTAGTACCAGAGACCAGACATTGTACCGGAGACATTGTACCAGAGACCAAAGACATTGTACCAGAGATATTGTACCAGTGACATTGTATCAGAGACCAGAGATATTGTACCGGAGACCAGAGACATTGTTCCGGAGACCAGAGACATTGTTGCGGAGACCAGATACATTGTACCAGAGACCAGAGACATTGTTCGATAGACATTGTACCGAGGACCTAGTACCAGAGACCAGACATTGTACCGGAGACATTGTACCAGAGACCAGAGACATTGTACCAGAGATATTGTACCAGTGACATTGTATCAGAGACCAGAGATATTGTACCGGAGACATTGTACCAGAGACCAGAGACATTGTACCAGAGATATTGTACTAGTGACATTGTATCAGAGACCAGAGATATTGTTCCAGAGACCAGAGATATTGTACCAGAGACATTGTACTAGTGACATTGTATCAGAGACCAGAGATATTGTTCCAGAGACCAGAGACATTGTACCAGAGACATTGTACTAGTGACATTGTATCAGAGACCAGAGATATTGTTCCAGAGACCAGAGACATTGTACCAGAGACCAGAGACATTGTACCAGAGACCAGAGATATTGTACCAGAGACATTGTACTAGTGACATTGTATCAGAGACCAGAGATATTGTACCAGAGATATTGTACTAGTGACATTGTATCAGAGACCAGAGACATTGTACCAGAGACCAGAGACATTGTTCCATAGACATTGTAACAGAGACAGTGTACCAGAGACTAGAAACAGTGTACCAGAGACCAGAGACATTGTACCAGAGACCAGAGACATTGTTGCGGAGACCAGAGACATTATTCCAGAGACATTGTACCAGAGTATTGGGGTACACGAACGAATATTAACAGGCTTGATAACTTAGTCATGTCGATGATTATGTACAAAGTTTTTGTATATAACATGCTCCATCGTTCTCAGTGTCATGTAAGTGAATGATGACCGAGTTATGATAGAGAGGACGACGATGTATACATGAAGTGGGCGTTGTCCGGCTGCATGATCTACTTAGTGCTGTTTGAGAGTACATATACACTCATTACAGATGTGCAGTACTGTGCCGAACACAACCTCCCTTGACTTAAACTATAACATATTTTCTGAATGTAGATATATTCAATAAATCACGTGTGACTCGCTAAGGGTTAAAAGTTGTCAGGAACATTGCAATTTTATTTATTATAATCGTACATTTACATCAATTAAGTGTTCGGATAAAATGAGCCAAACACTCACCTTATGCGGTAAAGTAAATCCAGTAATGGGCACAGCCGAAAATCCCTCAAATTACTGTATATTTTATATTAAGGAAATTTTTAAAAAATGTAATCCTGTAGGTGAGTAAATGTCAATTCTGTATGAGATTACTTTTGATCAGTTGATGGAAATCAAATTGCTACACAGTCGGATAAGAAACAAAGTCCTGGCATGAATCTTTTCCATCCCCATCTTATGTGGCGGGTAATTAAAATAATTACTTCGATGACGATAGGTTCCATTAATATGACATTGATAATAAAATTATGTTTACTTTAGACGATAGTGCAGTTTTAGAATACCTGACATTTATAGTCACATAAACGACAGTAAATGAGGTTTTTATGTTAGTTTACTTAAGCCGATAACTCAGATTTTCAACGCATCTCCAAAAGGTCATAAAACCCTCGACAATTTATACATGTAATTTATTACTTCTGTCACGTGACACCTGTGGAAACCGGAAATCTGCGGAGCTGTTAAGTCCATGTAAGCAGCAGATGAAGCTTTACTACAGTTTTTGCCTGTTTCATTAATTCATTAATTTGCTACGCACGTGACTTTCCTAGAGATGAGTTGCTGGAGGGATACCGGACGCTGGATACTCGTGGCCATCAACGCTCTTTGCAGTGTGAGTTTTACATTATTGATTAGCTTACCTATGATACATCATCTACCTGTTGTACGTTTGCTGTTATCGTATTTCCCCCGTACATCCATAAGCCCTACTCGACCCCCTGGGGAATGTGTATATTTATAACACTTGTCTTTATTCTCTGTAGTGATAATGTGAATTCGGTGCTTGTTTCTACCGCCCCTATCCTCACTCTCGTCGTGAAACCTGAACAACGTCATTTCTAAGAAATTTCGAATCTTCAAATCCTGATGTACATCTGAACAGAATTCAGATAATACATTAATTTGCATGACACCATCACAAGATAATGCGGCAGATAAAACGAATTTGAACTCTAAACGATCACACAAATTAAAGTTAGAGTAGAGAGTCTCAGTTACAACATAATCTGTTATTGTTGTTTGTGTTCAATAGAAGGTAAACACAATAAATTAACATAAAGACAGCTTAAGAAAGTCGTCACTTCCCTGATTGGGCGGTTAAAGCACAGCTGATGTGGCTTTGGACATAAATAGCAGCGTAACGTCAGTACGGTATAAACAGTACATACTGATTGGGGGCACGGAATCCTGCTTTTTGTGATCCGTTAATGTTTAACTTCATCTATGTAAGACAGAATGTTCAGTCTCTAAACAACATTTTATTTTCATTTTTTTTAGCATTTTAAACGATGATTTCATATTAAGCCGAAAGAGCAGCTGAACTTATGACGTGTGGCGTCGTCCGTCCTCCGTTCGGCCGGCCGACGTCAACGTTTCCTATAGGCGAATTCTTCTCAATAAAAGAAAGGCATGGGAGCTGATATTGGGCATGTAGCATGCTGTGGTGAAGGGCTACAACAGACAACATACAAAATTTGTTCAAATGAAAGACCTTAATCCACTTTTAAGGACTAAGGGGTAAGATGAGAAAATATTTTAACGACTTCTTCTCAATAACCAAAAAGTCCAGGTTTTGATATTAGTCCTGTAGCATACTAGGATGAAGAGCTTTAAGATTTGTTTAAATTATTGACATTTGTTCACTTTCAAGGTTACATGACTCAATTGTGATAAAGCAAAATGCTCAGGGTACTATAAAATCGTGGTCAAGGTGAGCTGGCCACCAAGAATTCATCCTGGTACACATAAATGTAATGTTTACATTCTGTGTTTCATTCGTCTATACATCATCACTACGCCAAATTGTAGTATTGTAGACCGTATACTAGTACAATTTACAGGGATTCGGTCGGTGTTGAAAGTAAATCTAGATGTCTCCTAGGTAAACGAAACTGACCATCGGTCACTTTCACTGACTGTACTGACATGCCCGAAGTTGTTGGACATACCGTCACAAAAAAGCAACTTTGCAAAAGCTAACAAATAATAACAATTTTATTGTCAAACATGTAACTTTGCCGTAAAATCATTATTATAGCCATAACATACATGATAACAAAGTTTGTCGCCTCGTACTGACAGGATCGATTTCCATAATACATAACTTTCGTTATTCTATTTTGAAAAACTCATCAATCTATTCTAAGACACGAAAACGTAAATAAGTGTCGTAGAAACACTAGACACATTGTTTCATAAAATCTTACCGAGAGCCACATCACTTTTTAATGAAATAGCATTGCGCAATTCTATTTCAAAAGAACGAAAAAATACATTGAGTAATTACCAAAAGTATTGGAGGGACAAACGTCATGAGTGAACTTTATGGGTTAAAATATCCTTATCTTAGGAATCCCTTAACAGACATATACATTATAATACCGAAACACGTGCCATTTTCTAATAGAGTATGTACCTACACGTATATATATTTTATCTTATGTTACAATTATAATGAGATTATTGTGACCGGTTACTGAGAATATATCACTATTTACTTTATTGCTGTATTATTTACACAATGTGTGCCAACATTACACTAACTGTAAACATTGGTAAAACCATCTATACAAACTGACATTCGCATCAAGCAATTCAATAGCAACAAAAGACAATTTAAGTACACAAGAAACAAAACATCGTCAAAAAACAGTGGAATTCAGAAGAAAGTGAAATTCTATCAGGAAAGTGATTAACAGGTACATTAATACGGCATCCGCTTTTTCACTTTGACACGTTTTCAGTGCCGATATATTTTCATGTTATGGAGTAGTTATGCTTGATTTTATGAAAGATAAATTATCTAGAATTTTTGATAACTCGTTATAATGCAGATACACGTTTGTTTTTCGCTCCGACGTCTGTTAGTCCAAAATCTGAGCTACTTGTTTGTAAACAAATATAAAATGTCCAACTTCCAACAGGACATTTATCATTTATTAGATTAAAGCGTGTTGTTGTGTTGTTGGTTTCGACGTGAATTGTTTATAAGGGGTAACTGTCTTTTCTAATTATGCAGACGACAAATGCAGTGATTTAAATCAACCCTTCAAATCCGGAAATTTGATGGAATGTAATGGTATCTCGGGGCAGATATGTACTCCGAAACTCTGGTAGGCTGGGTGTAAATTCGCTGGAAGTTCTCAAATGTTGTTTTTAAAGGCTTACATCATTAGCTTATGCAATGTATTGGATTTCTACACCACGTAATCGTGACGTAGATAGGTATCCCAGCACTTGTTGATATATAAGTAGATGATGATATCAAACAGAAACGTGCAAGAAATGAATTACATAAAATCACGTAGTTCCGGACGATACACACATCTAAAATCTTATGAAAGGCGTTGTCCATACCGTCACTCGCCATTAATAGATAGTACAGGATCTGGGTCACGGAAGCAATTCTATAAATAGCACCTGTCGATATTCCGGTTTAACCAGCGGTAACATTTTAGATGTTTTATTCTAAGTGGTAATTTTCTGAAGTTAGATCTTCATTATATACCTAGATTGTTGTAAGCTGACAGTATAAGGTTACCATACGCCAGAGAACTCCGGTCTCTCTTAATGGATCAGTGAATTAGTGTATCGTGGTGGATATTTTTACAACGAAGAACATTACTTATTGAACGGAAAATGGCGAATTGTTGTTCAAGTTGTTCGAAGGTGTTGTTGGTGTCAGTCAACGTTTTAGTTGGTGTAAGTAGACACATGTACAACTGAATACAGGGTTTTGTTTATGTACCAGCACAACCGCCATTACTTACCTGATTGTGAAAGGTGTTCTCACCTGCAATGTAAACACTGGTACGTAGCAATGTAGTGGTGACGTAGCCATGTATTTTTGTCGCTAATTGTCATAATCAACAAAGGAATGCTACCTGACGTTAGATTATCTATGTGAAACAAGCACTGATGTGGTTTTGTTTGGTATATTTTATATACTGTAAGGGAGATAACCCTCATGTTTTCTTTATTTATACCCCACTCGTACAGAGCCTGTGACATATAGGATCAGAATCATGGGATAAGTATATCATGATCATATTGGGCTTTTTCATCGGTTGAAAAAAAGAAAGTTCTATTATGGTTATGTTTGAGAATATCCATCTCTATCATGTGTCATGGTATCTCATCGATCGTCGATATCACACCTAGTGGATACACGACGTTAAAAGATTGACAACCGGGAATGATTTTTGGTTCATTTAAAGTAGGACGAAAAAGGAGAAATGAAATGACAAAATATATACCAATCGGATGTCCGATAATAGGTAGGTATGCAGCAGAATATTTCTTATAAAAAAAGAACGACTTATTCTCAAGCTGGCTTTTCAGGATGTCATTTTACAAGTAGTTTGTCTAAAACACCATTCCCGGATCTGGGACATGGCTTTGTAAAATGATATGGTTTCTGAGCCCGTTGATCACAAATATACATTTACCAGTTGGGCACAAACAATCATCATACTTAAGGTAAATCGTTACCTATGGATAGCAACGCCCTACTGGTAGTGGAGGTGTCGTCGTTCTACTTCGTGACTACCCGAGCTGGAGTGAATGTGGGAACTCTTCACATCATTATTGTTCGTCACGGGTGGGCGTCTTCGGTCGTGATGAGGCAGAATTCGCGTATTGAAGCGACACGTTCTTTTTATATAATGATAAAATAGCTCGGCACACTTGTATACTGGTAAATCGGGTGTGTTCGGCGAGGTTTCTGCTCGATCTAATTGGACCTTCATGTACATGTGTTACTTACTAAAACTTGATTATGATCATTAGATCTTGTGGTAGCTGTGTTTATATAAGGGCGTAGTTATGTCTTTCAGATATTTTCTTACACAATGACACAAACAACCTCTCTCAAAGATATCATTATAAAATCAGAAAGTTATTTATAATTACGTGTTGTTATGTGATTGCTATATTGTTGGTCTAAACATTTTAAAATTATAAATGAGGCCGAGTTTCTTTAGTTGGGATTTTGTTGCCTCGCCGGAAATCCCTACATTGTAACAAATCAGCGCCTTCTTTTATGTATTCTACAGCTTTTCTGTATGGTTAACGAATTGATACCACTTGGTATGTTTTTGTTTTTGTTTACTTCCCTAACTTGTATAATGACTCATTGACGCATGGTATTTGTGTCACGGTGACTCTTAAATGATGTAACATGTATGTGCAACGTGGTATGTGTAACAAAGTGACTTCCCAAAATTCAAATGTTGCAACGAATCAGTGTCACGTGTACCCCTGTGACACACCTAAATCAAAATGGTGTAGCGAATCAGTGTCACGTGGAATGCATTCCCCTGTGACACACCTAAATAAAAATGGTGTAGCGAATCAGTGTCTCGTGGAATGCGTTCCCCTGTGACACACCTAAATCAAAATGGTGTAGCGAATCAGTGTCACGTGGAATGCGTTCCCCTGTGACACACCTAAATCAAAATGGTGTAGCGAACCAGTGTCACGTGGAATGCGTTCCCCTGTGACACACCTAAATCAAAATGGTGCAGCGAATCAGTGTCACGTGTTCCCCTGTGACACACCTAAATCAAAATGGTGTAGCGAATCAGTGTCACGTGTTCCCCTGTGACACACCTAAATAAAAATTGTGTAACGAATCAGTGTCACGTGATATGTGTTCTTTGGTGACTCTCTTGAGTGAAAATGGTGTGATTCTCCTACATGGTAAAATGTAGTTACTTCATACAATCTATTTACAAATAATCGGACTATCTATCCAAAGTGATCGAGGTCGATAAGACCAAAATTTAGACTGATTTTTACTACTCTCAATAGCCAATTGAATGAGTTTCATTTGACCCCTTTTCCTGCACTACCTTCATCAGTAGTGTTATGTGTATCAGTGTCACGTGATCTGTTGCTTCTACTTCCAATGGTGTTACGTATCAACGTTACGACATCTGTTGCTTTCCTCAAGGTTGTTAAGGTGTCAATATCAATCTAGACTCTCCTCTGATGGTGTAACGCTTCAGTTTTACTGCCTCTTTTATACTGTTGCAAGCGTCGTGTGTTTCTCCTGTTTCAGCTCCTCGGCCTGGCACTTCTGGTGGGAGGATGTCTCCTCAAATTTGGGAGCGGTCTGATAGATGTGAACAGTTACATCGATAATACGCTGACTGAAATTGTCCTCGATGGTATTGAACAATCTATTTCCGGTATCCTAGACAACATCGTCATCATCTGCATCGTGGCTGGAGCGGTCATCCTCATCGTTTCGCTTCTAGGTTGCCTGGGCGCATGTTGTGAATGGCGAATTGCTCTGATTATTGTAAGTATGCGTGTACATGCTATGAATTGATAGTGAAGAAGTAATCCCAAATCTCTGATGTAGGCGGTATATAAGTAACTGTGATGTTTCTGGTCCCAGTATTCTGATGTAGGCTGTATATAAGTAACTGTGATGTTTCTGGTCCCAATATTCTGATGTAGGCGGTATATAAGTAACTGTGATGTTTCTGGTCCCAGTATTCTGATGTAGGCTGTATATAAGTAACTGTGATGTTTCTGGTCCCAGTATTCTGATGTAGGCGGTATATAAGTAACTGTGATGTTTCTGGTCCCAGTATTCTGATGTAGGCTGTATATAAGTAACTGTGATGTTTCTGGTCCCAGTATTCTGATGTAGGCGGTATATAAGTAACTGTGATGTTTCTGGTCCCAGTATTCTGATGTAGGCGGTATATAAGTATTCTGATGTAGGCGGTATATAAGTAACTGTGATGTTTCTGGTCCCAGTATTCTGATGTAGGCGGTATATAAGTAACTGTGATGTTTCTGGTCCCAGTATTCTGATGTAGGCGGTATATAAGTAACTGTGATGTTTCTGGTCCCAGTATTCTGATGTAGGCGGTATATAAGTAACTGGGATGTTTCTGGTACCAGTATTCTGATGTAGGCGGTATATAAGTAACTGTGATGTTTCTGGTCCCAGTATTCTGATGTAGGCTGTATATAAGTATTCTGATGTAGGCGGTATATAAGTAACTGTGATGTTTCTGGTTCCAGTATTCTGATGTAGGCGGTATATAAGTAACTGTGATGTTTCTGGTCCCAGTATTCTGATGTAGGCGGTATATAAGTAACTGTGATGTTTCTGGTTCCAGTATTCTGATGTAGGCTGTATATAAGTAACTGTGATGTTTCCGGTCCCAGTATTCTGATGTAGGCTGTATATAAGTAACTGTGATGTTTCTGGTCCCAGTATTCTGATGTAGGCGGTATATAAGTAACTGTGATGTTTCTGGTCCCAGTATTCTGATGTAGGCGGTATATAAGTAACTGTGATGTTTCTGGTCCCAGTATTCTGATGTAGGCTGTATATAAGTAACTGTGATGTTTCTGGTCCCAGTATTCTGATGTAGGCGGTATATAAGTAACTGTGATGTTTCTGGTCCCAGTATTCTGATGTAGGCGGTATATAAGTATTCTGATGTAGGCGGTATATAAGTAACTGTGATGTTTCTGGTCCCAGTATTCTGATGTAGGCGGTATATAAGTAACTGTGATGTTTCTGGTCCCAGTATTCTGATGTAGGCGGTATATAAGTAACTGTGATGTTTCTGGTCCCAGTATTCTGATGTAGGCGGTATATAAGTAACTGGGATGTTTCTGGTACCAGTATTCTGATGTAGGCGGTATATAAGTAACTGTGATGTTTCTGGTCCCAGTATTCTGATGTAGGCTGTATATAAGTATTCTGATGTAGGCGGTATATAAGTAACTGTGATGTTTCTGGTTCCAGTATTCTGATGTAGGCGGTATATAAGTAACTGTGATGTTTCTGGTCCCAGTATTCTGATGTAGGCGGTATATAAGTAACTGTGATGTTTCCGCTCCCAGTATTCTGATGTAGGCGGTATATAAGTAACTGTGATGTTTCCGCTCCCAGTATTCTGATGTAGGCGGTATATAAGTAACTGTGATGTTTCTGGTTCCAGTATTCTGATGTAGGCGGTATATAAGTAACTGTGATGTTTCCGGTCCCAGTATTCTGATGTAGGCGGTATATAAGTAACTGTGATGTTTCTGGTTCCAGTATTCTGATGTAGGCGGTATATAAGTATTCTGATGTAGGCGGTATATAAGTAACTGTGATGTTTCTGGTCCCAGTATTCTGATGTAGGCTGTATATAAGTAACTGTGATGTTTCCGGTCCCAGTATTCTGATGTAGGCTGTATGTAAGTATTCTGATGTAGGCGGTATATAAGTAACTGTGATGTTTCTGGTCCCAGTATTCTGATGTAGGCTGTATATAAGTAACCGTGATGTTTCTGGTCCCAATATTCTGATGTAGGCTGTATATAAGTAACTGTGATGTTTCTGGTCCCAGTATTCTGACGAGGCGGTATATAAGTAAGTGTGATGTTTGTTATTGCAGTATTCTATCATCATATTCCTTGTGTTGTGTGCTGAAATAGCTCTTGTCGTCCTGGTGGTACTTTTCAGAACAGAGGTAAGTGTTGACCTTGCTGACGTAATACTTAGTTTAGAAGAAGTTGTGTGATACAGTTTAATTGCTTCATACTCTAACTGAAAAGTGAAAATTTTCTCCTCCTACATTGTTCACATTTAACATTAAATACGAATTGTATTGAACTAGTCTATAGTTTTTCTGGTGTTAACTGATAAATAGTCGTCTCAAAGATCAAATCAACTCCACAAAATTTCACATGATGACGTGATTAACGATGTGTGACGTCAATACGTATCCTTCAGATTAGGACTAACCTGAAGACAGCCATGAACCAGACCATGTACGAAACGTATGATAACAGGGCCGATAACCCTGTCGTGATTGGATGGAATACACTGTTCTATAAGGTAACGTACCAACGATAGCACGTTTTTAACATTATTGTGTACCTGTTATACATCCCCGTCTGTCAGTGACTGACGAAAGTCAACAACCTGCACTGACTTTCATGCTTCGGATAGAAATATTGAAAGTAAACCCAGTACCGTGTAACATGTAACAATCTCATAAGAGGTGTAACGCACGCATTGCATGTTCTACACACCCATTACACGTTCTACACACCCAATACACGTTCTACACACCCAATACACGTTCTACACACCCAATACACGTTTTACACACCCAATACACGTTCTACACACCCATTACACGTTCTACACACCTAATACACGTTTTACACACCCAATACACGTTTTACACATCCAATACACGTTTTACACACCCAATACACGTTCTACACACCCATTACACGTTCTACACACCCAATACACGTTCTACACACCCAATACACGTTTTACACATCCAATACACGTTTTACACAATCATTACACGTTTTACACACCCATTACAGGTTTTACACAATCATTACACGTTTTACACTCTCATCACACGTTTTAAACACCCAATACACGTTTTACACACCCAATACACGTTTTACACACCCAATACACGTTCTACACACCCATTACACGTTTTCCACACCCAATACACGTTCTACACACCCAATACGCGTTCTACACACCCAATACACGTTTTACACACCCAATACGCGTTCTACACACCCAATACACGTTTTACACACCCATTACACGTTTTACACACCCAATACACGTTCTACACACCCATTACACGTTTTCCACACCCATTACACGTTTTCCACACCCAATACACGTTCTACACACCCAATACGCGTTCTACACACCCAATACACGTTTTACACACCCAATACGCGTTCTACACACCCAATACACGTTCTACACACCCATTACACGTTTTCCACACCCATTACACGTTTTCCACACCCAATACACGTTCTACACACCCAATACGCGTTCTACACACCCAATACACGTTTTACACACCCAATACGCGTTCTACACACCCAATACACGTTTTACACACCCATTACACGTTTTACACACCCAATACACGTTCTACACACCCATTACACGTTTTACACACCCATTACACGTTTTCCACACCCAATACACGTTCTACACACCCAATACGCGTTCTACACACCCAATACACGTTCTACACACCCAATACACGTTCTACACACCCAATACGCGTTCTACACACCCAATACACGTTCTACACACCCAATACACGTTTTACACACCCAATACACGTTCTACACACCCAATACACGTTTTACACATCTAATACACGTTTTACACAATCATTACACGTTTCGTTTTACACACCCATTACACGTTTTACACAATCATTACACGTTTTACACAATCATTACACGTTTTACACTCTCATCACACGTTTTAAACACCCAATACACGTTTTACACACCCATTACACGTTTTACACATCCAATACACGTTCTACACACCCAATACACGTTTTCAACACCAAATATACGTTCTATACACCCAATACACGTTCTACACACCCAATACACGTTTTACACATCCAATACACGTTTTACACAATCATTACACGTTTTACACACCCATTACAGGTTTTACACAATCATTACACGTTTTACACTCTCATCACACGTTTTAAACACCCAATACACGTTTTACACACCCAATACACGTTTTACACACCCAATACACGTTCTACACACCCATTACACGTTTTCCACACCCATTACACGTTTTCCACACCCAATACACGTTCTACACACCCAATACGCGTTCTACACACCCAATACACGTTTTACACACCCAATACGCGTTCTACACACCCAATACACGTTTTACACACCCATTACACGTTTTACACACCCAATACACGTTCTACACACCCATTACACGTTTTCCACACCCATTACACGTTTTCCACACCCAATACACGTTCTACACACCCAATACGCGTTCTACACACCCAATACACGTTTTACACACCCAATACGCGTTCTACACACCCAATACACGTTCTACACACCCATTACACGTTTTCCACACCCATTACACGTTTTCCACACCAAATACACGTTCTACACACCCAATACGCGTTCTACACACCCAATACACGTTTTACACACCCAATACGCGTTCTACACACCCAATACACGTTTTACACACCCATTACACGTTTTACACACCCAATACACGTTCTACACACCCATTACACGTTTTCCACACCCATTACACGTTTTCCACACCCAATACACGTTCTACACACCCAATACGCGTTCTACACACCCAATACACGTTCTACACACCCAATACGCGTTCTACACACCCAATACACGTTCTACACACCCAATACACGTTTTACACACCCAATACACGTTCTACACACCCAATACACGTTTTACACATCTAATACACGTTTTACACAATCATTACACGTTTCGTTTTACACACCCATTACACGTTTTACACAATCATTACACGTTTTACACAATCATTACACGTTTTACACTCTCATCACACGTTTTAAACACCCAATACACGTTTTACACACCCATTACACGTTTTACACATCCAATACACGTTCTACACACCCAATACACGTTTTCAACACCAAATATACGTTCTATACACCCAATACACGTTCTACACACCCAATACACGTTTTACACATCTTATACACGTTTTACACAATCATTACACGTTTTACACACCCAATACACGTTTTACACAAACAATACACGTTTTAAACAAACAATACACGTTCAACACATCCAATACCAATTAAACTTGAAATTCTTTTTAATACCCTATTAGAAATAACGAAAATTCAGTTTTTTGGTTTGTGCACCTATACGTTTATAACACTCAGTACATGTATGTAACACTCAATACACATATATATAACACTCAATACACGCATGTAACACTCAATACACGTATATAACACTCAATACACGTATATAACACTCAATTCACGTATATAACACTCAATACACATATATAACACTCAATACACGTATATAACACTCAATACACGTATGTAACACTCAATACATATATATAACACTCAATACACGTATGTAACACTCAATACATATATATAACACTCAATACACGTATATAACACTCAATACATATATATAACACTCAATACATGTATGTAACACTCAATACATATATATAACACTTAATACACGTATGTAACACTCAATACATATATATAACACTCAATACACGTATATAACACTCAATACATATATATAACACTCAATACACGTATGTAACACCCAATACATATATATAACACTCAATACACGTATATAACACTCAATACACGTATATAACACTCAGTACGTGTATATAACACTCAATACACGTATGTAACACTCATTACACGTATGTAACACTCAATACATATATATATAAAACACTCAATACATATATATAACACTCAATACACGTATGTAACACTCAATACATATATATAACACTCAATACACGTATATAACACTCATTACATATATATAACACTAAATACACGTATGTAACACTCAATACATATATATAACACTCAATACACGTATGTAACACTCAATACATATATATAACACTCAATACATATATATAACACTCAATACATATATATAACACTCAGTACGTGTATATAATACTCAATACATATATATAACACTCAATACACGTATGTAACACTCAATACATATAGATAACACTCAATACACGTATATAACACTCAATACAAGTATATAACACTCAATACATATATATAACACTAAATACATATATGTAACACTCAATACATATATATAACACTCAATACACGTATGTAACACTCAATACATATATATAACACTCAATACATATATATAACACTCAATACACGTATATAACACTCAATACATATATATAACACTCAATACATATATGTAACACTCAATACATATATATAACACTCAATACACGTATGTAACACTCATTACATATATATAACACTCACTACACGTATGTAACACTCAATACATATATATATAACACTCAATACATATATGTAACACTCAATACATATATATAACACTCAATACATATATGTAACACTCAATACATATATATAACACTCAATACACGTATTATAACACTCAATACATATATATAACACTCAATACACGTATGTAACAATCAATACACGTATATAACACTCAATACACGTATGTAACACTCAATTCACTATATAACACTCAATACTCGTATATAACACTGTGATCCACCTATTGCCTATTGTTTGTTTTTTCCTATTTCAGTTTGAATGTTGTGGTGTAGATAACTATATGGATCTGGTAAATGCTAAGAACTACACGCCGTCCAATCCTGACTTTAAGGTCCCCCCATTCTGTTGTAAAGATATCGACTTCGACTACCCGAGGTTGGTTCCACCCTCCGGCGACCCGACATATAACTGTTCCATTTACCCGTCTCCAGACACCTCCAACTATATGAAAGTAAGTATGGGCCAGATTAAGATGTATATTACAGGCGAACGCGGGGCGCTTTAAGATACCGTATGCAGAAATTCAAAGTGACGAAAATGGAATCCAATGAATGAAGTCAGTTTTGATTAATTGGTTCGTTTAACTTTATCGCAGAACAGACTTTGAACGTCTACTTAGATAAATAAATCCCCTGGCCTGCAAGATAAATCGTAGATGACTTATAAGGAAGAATTACTTACATGTAATATTGAAACCATGGGATATTGAGATGCTTTAACTTATGTTTTAATATAATGGAGCGTAAGTTTGTAAAATTGTTTAATAACAGGATTTGAAATCCAATAAATCAGTTGGCAATATTCATAGCTTATATATGAGTGAAGGCTTCAGTAAAAATGTCACAGGAAACGTGTGACAAGCTATGATTTGTGTTTGTTAACAATAGAGGAGAAGGTGTGACAAGCTATAATTTTTGTGTATTAACAATAGAGGAGAAAAGTGTGACAAGCTATGTTTTGTGTGTGTTAACAATAGAGGAGAAAAGTGTGACAAGCTATGATTTGTGTGTGTTAACAATACATGAGAAGGTGTGACAAGCTATGATTTGTGTGTGTTAACAATAGAAGAGAAAGTGTGACAAGCTATGATTTGTGTGTGTTAACAATACAGGAGAAAAGTGTGACTAGCTATGGTTTGTGTGTGTTAACAATACAGGAGAAGGTGTGACAAGCTATGATTTGTGTGTATTAACAATAGAGTAGAAAAGTGTGACAAGCTATGATTTGTGTGTGTTAACAATAGAGAAGAAAAGTGTGACAAGCTATGATTTGTGTGTGTTAACAATAGAGGAGAAAAGTGTGACAAGCTATGATTTGTGTGTGTTAACAATACAGGAGAATGTGTGACAAGCTATGATTTGTGTGTGTTAACAATACAGGAGAAGGTGTGACAAGCTATGATTTGTGTGTGTTAACAATAGAGGAGAAGGTGTGACAAGCTATGATTTGTGTGTGTTAACAATAGAGGAGAAGGTGTGACAAGCTATGATTTGTGTGTATTAACAATAGAGTAGAAAAGTGTGACAAGCTATGTTTTGTGTGTGTTAACAATAGAGAAGAAAAGTGTGACAAGCTATGATTTTTGTGTGTTAACAATAGAGGAGAGAAGTGTAACAAGCTATGATTTGTGTGTGTTAACAATACAGGAGAAGGTGTGACAAGCTATGAATTGTGTGTGTTAACAATACAGGAGAAGGTGTGACAAGCTATGATTTGTGTGTGTTAACAATACAGGAGAAGGTGTGACAAGCTATGATTTGTGTGTGTTAACAATAAAGGAGAAGGTGTGACAAGCTATGATTTGTGTGTATTAACAATAGAGTAGAAAAGTGTGACAAGCTATGTTTTGTGTGTGTTAACAATAGAGAAGAAAAGTGTGACAAGCTATGATTTGTGTGTGTTAACAATAGAGGAGAGAAATGTGACAAGCTATGATTTGTTTGTGTTAACAATACAGGAGAAGGTGTGACAAGCTATGATTTGTGTGTGTTAACAATAGAGGAGAAAGTGTGACAAGCTATGATTTGTGTGTGTTAACAATACAGGAGAAGGTGTGACAAGCTATGATTTGTGTGTGTTAACAATAGAGGAAAAAGTGTGACAGCTATGATTTGTGTGTGTTAACAATAGAGTAGAAAAGTGTGAAAAGCTATGATTTGTGTGTGTTAACAATAGAGGAGAAAATGTGACAAGCTGTGATTTGTGTGTGTTAACAATAGAGGAGAAGGTGTGACAAGCTCTGATTTGTGTGTGTTAACAATACAGGAGAAGGTGTGACAAGCTATGATTTGTGTGTGTTAACAATACAGGAGAAAGTGTGACAAGCTTTGATTTGTGTGTGTTAACAATAGAGTAGAAAAGTGTGACAAGCTATGATTTGTGTGTGTTACCAATAGAGAAGAAAAGTGTGACAAGCTATGATTTGTGTGTGTTACCAATAGAGAAGAAAAGTGTGACAAGCTATGATTTGTGTGTGTTAACCAAGGAGAAGAAAAGTGTGACAAGCTATGATTTATGTGTGTTAACAATAGAGGAGAAAATGTGACAAGCTATGATTTGTGTGTGTTAACAATAGAGTAGAAAAGTGTGACAAGGTATGATTTGTGTGTGTTAACAATAGAGGAGAAAAGGGTGACAAGCTATGATTTGTGTGTGTTAACAATAGAGGAGAAGTTGTGACAAGCTATGATTTGTGTGTGTTAACAGTAGAGTAGAAAAGTGTGACAAGCTATGATTTGTGTGTGTTAACAATACAGGATAAGGTGTGACAAGCTATGATTTGTGTGTGTTAACAATAGAGGAGAAAAGTGACAAGCTATGATTTGTGTGTGTTAACAATAGAGGAGAAGAGTGTGACAAGCTATGATTTGTGTGTGTTAACAATAGAGTAGAAAAGTGTGACAAGCTATGATTTGTGTTAACACATTGATGAACACCTTACATCGTTTCTGGCTGATGTTATCGCAACTTTTATGAAAAGTAAGACACAGAGGAGTTCCGAAATATGGATAGCAAATCGAGTTTGCAGAGAATTGTGTGACTCCGAGACATAATCTATTGATCTAATACACAGAGACCTAAAATTCAGCTTTCTGGTTATTTGGTTTTTTTTTTTTTTCTTTTTCACTTCTCGATGAAACCAAAAACAAATAAAAAAAAAACACATTCATTTAGCTCCGCTTATTCATTAAGCTTTCATAAAGGTTTTTCTTTCATACCAGCATGAAACTAAATAAAATCCTCTCGGAGTTTAATCAATGTAACTAATCGATTTTTTCCCATTTTACCGAGACTTTGGTTATATCAATTTATATCTTCACAAGAAATAATGATAACATTATTTCTTTTGACTTATATAAAATCTGAGTTGGCGATATTGCCGCTAATTATCACTTTTATGTAACGTCACAATTATAACCATTATGATCCTTCAGCCAATCCCAAATACTCTACATTAAAACTTAATATGTATCGACGGCATACATCTCTAATTGACTACCTTCTGTGACTTACCATTGTTACAGGGCTGTTTCCAGTCACTACAGGACTTCCTCAGCCTTTACCAGAATCTGTTCCTCGGTGTGGGTATCTCTTTAGTAGTTATAGAGGTAAGTTTTCTGTGTGCACCTTGTTTAACAGTTCAGAAACTTGTTGGACGTATTGATTGATTTGACTTGTAAGCTGGAGATTTATTAAACTGAATTTGACTTGTAAGCTGGAGATTTATTAAAGGGAATTTGACTTGTAAGCTAGAGATTTAATAAACTGAATTTGACTTGTAAGCTGGAGATTTATTAAAGGGAATTTGACTTGTAAGTTGGAGATTTATTAAAGGGAATTTGACTTGTAAGCTGGAGATTTATTAAAGGGAATTTGACTTGTAAGCTGGAGATTTATTAAAGGGAATTTGACTTGTAAGCTGAAGATTTATTAAACTGAATTTGACTTGTAAGCTGGAGATTTATTAAAGGGAATTTGACTTGTAAGCTGGAGATTTATTAAAGGGAATTTGACTTGTAAGCTGGGGATTTATTAAAGGGAATTTGACTTGTAAGCTAGAGATTTAATAAACTGAATTTGACTTGTAAGCTGGAGATTTATTAAACTGAATTTGACTTGTAAGCTGAAGATTTATTAAACTGAATTTGACTTGTAAGCTGGAGATTTATTAAACTGAATTTGACTTGTAAGCTGGAGATTTATTAAACTGAATTTGACTTGTAAGCTGGAGATTTATTAAACTGAATTTGACTTGTAAGCTGGAGATTTATTAAAGGGAATTTGACTTGTAAGCTGGAGATTTATTAAAGGGAATTTGACTTGTAAGCTGGAGATTTATTAAAGGGAATTTGACTTGTAAGCTGGGGATTTATTAAAGGGAATTTGACTTGTAAGCTAGAGATTTAATAAACTGAATTTGACTTGTAAGCTGGAGATTTATTAAACTGAATTTGACTTGTAAGTTGGAGATTTATTAAAGGGAATTTGACTTGTAAGCTGGAGATTTATTAAAGGGAATTTGACTTGTAAGCTGGAGATTTATTAAAGGGAATTTGACTTGTAAGCTGGAGATTTATTAAACTGAATTTGACTTGTAAGTTGGAGATTTATTAAAGGGAATTTGACTTGTAAGCTGGAGATTTATTAAAGGGAATTTGACTTGTAAGCTGGAGATTTATTAAACTGAATTTGACTTGTAAGCTGGAGATTTATTAAAGGGAATTTGACTTGTAAGCTGAAGATTTATTAAAGGGAATTTGACTTGTAAGCTGGAGATTTATTAAACTGAATTTGACTTGTAAGCTAGAGATTTAATAAACTGAATTTGACTTGTAAGCTGAAGATTTATTAAAGGGAATTTGACTTGTAAGCTGGAGATTTATTAAACTGAATTTGACTTGTAAGCTGGGGATTTATTAAACTGAATTTGACTTGTAAGCTGGAGATTTATTAAACTGAATTTGACTTGTAAGCTGGAGATTTATTAAACTGAATTTGACTTGTAAGCTGGAGATTTATTAAAGGGAATTTGACTGGTAAGCTGAAGATTTATTAAAGGGAATTTGACTTGTAAGCTGAAGATTTATTAAAGGGAATTTGACTTGTAAGCTGGAGATTTATTAAAGGGAATTTGACTTGTAAGCTGGAGATTTATTAAAGGGAATTTGACTTGTAAGCTGGAGATTTATTAAAGGGAATTTGACTTGTAAGCTGGAGATTTATTAAAGGGAATTTGACTTGTAAGCTGGGGATTTATTAAAGGGAATTTGACTTGTAAGCTGGGGATTTATTAAAGGGAATTTGACTTGTAAGCTGGGGATTTATTAAAGGGAATTTGACTTGTAGCTTGGAGATTTATTAAACTGAATTTGACTTGTAAGCTGGAGATTTATTAAACTGAATTTGACTTGTAAGCTGGGGATTTATTAAAGGGAATTTGACTTGTAAGCTGGGGATTTATTAAAGGGAATTTGACTTGTAAGCTGGGGATTTATTAAAGGGAATTTGACTTGTAAGCTGGGGATTTATTAAAGGGAATTTGACTTGTAAGCTGGAGATTTATTAAAGGGAATTTGACTTGTAAGCTAGAGATTTAATAAACTGAATTTGACTTGTAAGCTGGAGATTTATTAAAGGGAATTTGACTTGTAAGCTGGAGATTTATTAAAGGGAATTTGACTTGTAAGCTGGAGATTTATTAAAGGGAATTTGACTTGTAAGCTGGGGATTTATTAAAGGGAATTTGACTTGAAATATTTATTAAGTTTGAATATAGAAGACATACAAGATGAAATGTTCTTATATTTATTTACTTTAAGAATGAACATTTTCATTAAACAAAGCTTTTCACTAAAGAAAAGTGCAAACCCAAGCTAATACCTTTTCTTAGATATGACGGTGAAAGTTGTTTGTAACTGATACAGCAGTGTAGACGTTCCTACAGCATGTTAAACCATCCAGTGTGGAGATGTTCATATAGATTTTATTTCATTCATAATTACATTTCTTTACATGTAACATAGCATTCACATTTGAATCGGATTCAGAAACAAGTTTTATAACTTATATAAAATATGTCTCCGTCAGCAACACATTCATATATAGGACGGCATTAAATGGAAAGATGGTGTCAGTATATATATTGCTCTCTATATTTGTGAAAAATAGCAACAACAAAAATGAAACAGAAGGACATGACAGATACGAAGTTAAAAGAAGTGAAAAGAATAGGAGGGGAAAGTAGCTATGTCCTGGCGTAATCTGAACGGGAAAACACGTACTGAACCAGTTACACATCAGACGAAAACAATCATTCGAATATCTTAGAACAGATTATAAGGTTGTGAACGCATGTGTTTGTTGATCAGTGAACATCCGGAGGAATGCCGTTAATGATTACGGAAGCGTTGAATATCAGCACCTACCTGAATATGTAGACTATATAAACTGTAAACAAGTTGGAATCAGTATAACGACAACCATCGTAAACACGTATTTACATCTGATATATTGTCAAAGAACTTTATTTTTTAAAGTTCAGCTTATATAAATTGAGTCTTCAGAATAATCGTTCGTGTTACCTTGAAGCTAATCTATGGTTCACAATACGTAGATTGTTTTGTTCCTTATCGAATGAACATGTTATGTAATGTTGATCACGTAATGATAAACAAACAAAACCAACAACTGTCTCCCAATAGTGCTTTCACCTTTGCACAATCCGACAGGCGGCCATCTTGAAACAAAGAAGATAGATTTTTTATGATTATATCATCGTATCTGCTGAAAAGATCTTTCTCAAATTTAACACATATATATACACACAAATTTCACACACATTTATATACACACAAATTTCACACACACATATATATACACACAACTTCACACACACACATATATATATATATATATACACAAATTTCATACACACACACATTTACACACAAATTTCACACACATTTATATACACACAAATTTCCCACACATTTATATACACATAAATTCCACATACATATAAACACACAAATTTTACACACACATACATACAAATTAATTTCACACTCATATATATATACACACAATTTTCACACACATATATATACACACACAACTTCACATACATATATATATATATATATATATATACACACATTTCACACACACACATTTCACACAAATACATTTACACACAAATTTCACACACACATTTATATACACACAAATTTCACACACATATATATACACACAAACTTCACACACATTTATATACACACAAACTTCACACACATATATACACACAAATTGTACATATATATATGTATACAAACAAATTTTACACACACATATATATACACACACAATTTTCACACACATACATTTACACACAAAATTCACACACATATATATACACAAATTTCACACACATATGAATACAAACAAATTTCACACACACACACATATATATATACACACAAATTTCACAAACATATATACACACAAATTTCATACTCGTATATATATACACAAATTTCACACTAATATATATACACACAAATTTCACACATATATATACACACACACACCCACACAAATTTCATACACATATATACACACAAATTTAACACACACATATATACACACAAATTTAACACACACATATATATATATATACACACAAATATATACACACAAATTTCACACACATATATACACACAAATTTAACACACACACACATATATATACACACAAATTTCACACATATATATACACACACATATATACTCACAAATTTCACACATATATATACACACAAATTTAACACACATATATATACACACAAATTTCACACATATATATATACATAAATTTCACACAAATATATACACACAAATTTCACACATATATATACACACACAAATTTAACACACATATATATATACACACAAATATATACACACAAATATATACACACATATATATACACACAAATATATACACACAAATTTCACACATATATATACACACAAATTTAACACACACATATATACACACAAATATATACACACAAATTTCACACACATATATATATACACAAATTTCACACAAATATATACACACAAATTTCACACATATGTATACACACAAATTTCACACATATATATACACACAAATTTCATACAAATATATACACACAAATTTCACACATATATATACACAGTTTACAGTTATATACTTATATACTTTTATTTTCTTGTTTTAGATTCTTTGTCTGGTGGCAGCATGCTGTATCTGTCGTGAACTTCGTGACGGCGGAGGCAAGGCAGTGTGAAAATGGACATCGAGACGTCGGAAGTAGGATAATGTGAAAGTGGACATCGTGACGTCGGAAGTAGAACAGTGAGAAAGTGGACATCGTGACGTCGGAAGTAGGACAGTGTGAGAGTGGACATCGTGACGTCGGAGGCAGGACAGTGTGAAAGTGGACATCGTGACGTCGGAGGCAGGACAGTGTGAAAGTGGACATCGTGACGTCGGAGGCAGGACAGTGTGAAAATGGACATCGTGTCGTCGGAAGTAGGACAGGGTGAAAATGGACATCGTGACGTCGGAGGCAGGACAGTGTGAGAGTGGACATCGTGACGTCGGAGGCAGGACAGTGTGAGAGTGGACATCGTGACGTCGGAAGTAGGACAGGGTGAAAATGGACATCGTGACGTCGGAAGTAGGACAGGGTGAAAATGGACATCGTGACGTCAGAAGTAGAACGGTGTGAATGTGGACTTCGTGACGTCGGAAGTAGGATAGTGTGAAAATGGACATCGTGACGTCGGAAGTAGGATAGTGTGAAAATGGACATCGTGACGTCGGCGGCAGGACAGTGTGAGAGTGGACATCGTGACGTCGGAAATAGGATAGTGTGAAAATGGACATCGTGACGTCGGAAGTAGGATAGTGTGAAAATGGACATCGTGACGTCGGCGGCAGGACAGTGTGAGAGTGGACATCGTGACGTCGGAAGCAGGACAGTGTGAGACTGGACATCGTGACGTCGGAGGCAGGGCAGTGTGAGAGTGGACATCGTGACGTCGGAAGCAGGACAGTGTGAGAGTGGACATCGTGACGTCGGAAGCAGGACAGTGTGAGACTGGACATCGTGACGTCGGAAGCAGGACAGTGTGAGAGTGGACATCATGATGTTGGAGGCAGGATAGTGTGAACGTGGACATCGTGACGTCGGAAGTAGGACAGGGTGAACATGATTATCGTTACTCGAATAAATGAAGAAAAATCTTGCGCCATAATTCACCATTTTGGTATAAATGAATTTGCTGTAGCGTGTTAAAGCGTTTGTTTTTAAAGGCATACTGCTTGCAGCTTAGTCATTTCACCAGCCTGATATTAATGATTCTGTGTTGATACCTAATCCTTGTCTAAACGTTATGATTGCATTGTTATGTCAATTGTAAGGTTGTTTCATACATTCTACTGTCATAGAGGTTGTAAGCAAATACGTTGTATATCAAAACAATCGAATTTTGTGATAAATGAGGATAGGAATGATTTTATTGAACTTCTGATCTGTTGTTTCAGTAAATGACAATATATTCTATATTTACTTTACAATTGCTATATATTTACTATGCAGTGACCATGGAATGGTATGTGTTCCGTATATGTAGCACAACAGTCACGTCGGTTTCATAAGCTGAACAAAGTATCCCAAGAGGTCCATTATCATTTTTGTATTAATTTTGTTAATGTAAAACAAAATGACTGTGGTCTAATGTCAAGTTATCAAAGGTTACTGAGTACTCACTACTGAAGTACTGACAAATCACGTGATACAAGGTAAGATGCATTATAAATCGAAGCAAAGTTTTGCATTTAATGTATTTGAGCGTGTTGAATAGTTGACGAAATAATCACAACTTTGCCATTTGACAACATTGTATTTACATACTCCCTCATCTGCCATTGTTTGATTTTGTGTTACATTTCCTAAGATTTCCTAGTGGTCCATTCCTACACGAGTACAATATTTGGTTTGTATATACATTCTAGGACGTATAACGATCCATTATACGTCCCTGTTTATGTTCTATAAGAACATGATTTATATTAAGGTTCTAAGATTCAAATTATACTTTTATAAATGAAATCATTCACTCATGCATGCTTTGTCGTGTTTTTATTACTTAGCGAGTCTGTTAGCGTTGCCATGGCGAAACTTAAACATGACTATTGAACCAATGAATATCATAGCAATTAGAACTTTGTCATGAAACATTTTCATAAGAACATCTCTTCAACCAATTAAAATATGTTCAAGCATGACTGCTGGCTAATTATCTATAGATTTGGTGACAAAATACCAGAAACACAATTTTAACTCGGCAATGGACACCGTATGACATTTACAGCGAAATGTTCTGCGTGAGTTACCTCCCTTACGCGACTGCTGACATCAGGCCCCACTTGTATAAAACATCTCACCTTGAGATTTCCTCAAGTCGAGATTTTCCTCAGCTGATATCTCCTCAAAAACGGCTTGTATAAAATTTTCTCAAGGAACAGGAGGAAGTCCTCGGCTAGGATGTCCTGAAATTCCTTGAGGAATTTTCATACAGGGTATTTTCAAGGAGATATTAGCTGAGGAAAATCTGGGCTTGAGGAAATCTGAAATTGAGATATTTTAAACAAGTGGTGCCAGATCGTCAAGAACTTGACCAGCTTTAGAAAACCTGCTATATCTATACAGACAAATAGCGGCTCATATTTGCAAACTAGACATTTAACTAGTACTAGTAGACATTTTAGGACCCCTGATGTGAAATTCAGGGCTACAAAGACGTGGAAGATGCCTCAGTCCTGATTCCAAACAGTGAGGACTTCACTGTACACTATGTCTCTGTCAAACAACACTCTCTCTCACAAAGTATTTAATAGCATTTACAGCCGCCTATACTTTAATAGGTCAAGACGAATGTTCATGTCCAAGACATCATGGATTTACCGACTTTTGTGAACATGTAACCAAATATTTCACATTCCAAAATACCATCTATTAGCAACGCTTCGGCTCAGCTGTAGGCAGGTCAGAATCTCCAATTGTAGAAAAAAAAATATCAACGTATGAAGGAGAACCCAATGATACTATACCCTTCCTTAACATCTTTCAGAAAGATGACAATGCTGTCAAAGTATTGGTCTACAGTGTACAATCTCGCCGTCCCACACACCAACAGTTGGTCGTTGTACGAACTCAATAGGTATAACACTTTGTCGTTTAACAACAAGACAAAAATACAACAGCAGAATCACATGTGGAGCCGTGAAAACGTGGATATCTGTACATTACAAGTGAGAAAGTGAATACACAACATGAGCACGGATATTCTATTTGCCTCGGATGATAGTTTTATTACAGAATGTCATACCTCGACTAAGATTTAAGCGAACTTATACATACAAGTAACAAAGGACGTCGTGTAAATTGTGTATAAGTGTTCGCTTAAATTTCAGTCGAGGTCTGACATTCTGAAATTTAATGCATAAAATGCGAGACACCTTAAGTCGGAGAAACTACAAGGATATAAGAGGTCCGACTCGGTGAGCCCTTCAAATACATGAAAACCCCAGAGGTCACTAACAGTCAATATCACACAGCATGGTAATTTATCATTGTAACGAAGAAATGTTCAACTTACTGGTCTACGTCCCTGATAATCTATAGTAAAAAATCGTTTACTGGGAGCGAGAAATCCGCGCATGCGCCAGACGATATGTCCTCAAATGAGGGGAAATCCTCAGGAAGCAGATAGGGAAACCAACATTTTCAAGCGGCAGGTGAGGGAAGAATTTTGGATACACATCACTGGGTTTCCAATAAACAGTGACGAGGTGGGCTCGTACATCTATAATCAAATTTTAAACAAAGTGCTTCCGAATGGACTCTCATGGGTTGATGCTTTATATGCAGTCATATGTAATCATGTAGACGTCACAATAATTCTGATATATCAACTTCAATTTATCATATATTACGAACCCGAGGAAAATAATCGGATTAGCAAATTCAACAATATTTAGGGGATATGAACACAAATAACAAGAATTTCAGTATGAGTATACATATCAATTAGTTTCTGTATATCAGTGGGTATAGATATTGATAACTATTCCTGTGTATCAGTGGGTATAGATAACTATTACTGTATATCAGTGGGTATAGATATTGATAACTATTCCTGTGTATCAGTGGGTATAGATAACTATTACTGTATATCAGTGGGTATAGATATAGATAACTATTACTGTCTATCAGTGGGTATAGATATAGATATATATTACTGTATATCAGTGGGTATAGATATAGATAACTATTACTGTATATCAGTGGGTATAGATATTGATAACTATTACTGTATATCAGTGGGTATAGATATTGATAACTATTCCTGTGTATCAGTGGGTATAGATAACTATTACTGTATATCAGTGGGTATAGATATAGATAACTATTCCTGTATATCAGTGGGTATAGATAACTATTACTGTATATCAGTGGGTATAGATATAGATAACTATTACTGTCTATCAGTGGGTATAGATAACTATTACTGTATATCAGTGGGTATATATATTGATAACTATTACTGTGTATCAGTGGGTATAGATAACTATTACTGTATATCAGTGGGTATAGATATAGATAACTATTACTGTCTATCAGTGGGTATAGATAACTATTACTGTATATCAGTGGGTATAGATATAGATAACTATTAATGTATATCAGTGGGTATAGATATAGATAACTATTACTGTATATCAGTGGGTATAGATATAGATAACTATTACTGTATATCAGTGGGTATAGATATAGATAACTATTACTGTCTATCAGTGGGTATAGATAACTATTACTGTATATCAGTGGGTATAGATATTGATAACTATTACTGTATATCAGTGGGTATAGATATAGATAACTATTACTGTATATCAGTGGGTATTTATATTGATAACTATTACTGTATATTCGTGGGTATAGATAACTATTACTGTATATCAGTGGGTATAGATATTGATAACTATTACTGTATATCAGTGGGTATAGATATTGATAACTATTACTGTATATCAGTGGGTATAGATAACTATTACTGTATATCAGTGGGTATAGATATTGATAACTATTACAGTATATCGGTGGGTATAGATATTGATATATATTACTGTATATCAGTGGGTATAGATATTGATATATATTACTATATATCAGTGGGTATAGATTACTATTACTGTATATCAGTGGGTATAGATATTGATAACTATTACTGTATATCAGTGGGTATAGATATTGATAACTATTACTATATATCAGTGGGTATAGATTACTATTACTGTATATCAGTGGGTATAGATATTGATATATATTACTATATATCAGTGGGTATAGATTACTATTACTGTATATCAGTGGGTATAGATATTGTTAACTATTACTGTATATCAGTGGGTATAAATACTGATAACTATTACTGTATATCAGTGAGTATAGATATTGATATATATTACTGTATATCAGTGGGTATACATACTGATTACTATAACTGTATATCGGTGGGTATAGATAACTATTACTGTATATCAGTGAGTATAGATATTGATATATATTACTGTATATCAGTGGGTATAGATATTGATAACTATTACTGTATATCAGAGGGTATAGATATTGATAACTATTACTATATATCAGTGGGTATAGATAACTATTACTGTATATCAGTGGGTATAGATATTGATATATATTACTATATATCAGTGGGTATAGATATTGATAACTATTACTGTATATCAGTGGGTATAGATTACTATTAGTGTATATCAGTGGTTATAAATATTGATAACTATTACTGTATATCAGTGGGTATATATATTGATAACTATTACTGTATATCAGTGGGTATAGATAACTATTACTGTATATCAGTGGGTATAGATAACTATTACTGTATATCAGTGGGTATAAATATTGATAACTATTACTGTATATCAGTGGGTATATATATTGATAACTATTACTGTATATCAGTGGGTATAGATAACTATTACTGTATATCAGTGGGTATAGATATTGATAACTATTACTGTATATCGGTGGGTAAAGATATTGATAACTATTACTGTATATCGGTGGGTATAGATATTGATATATATTACTGTATATCAGTGGGTATAGATATTGATAACTATTACTGTATATCAGTGGGTATAGATTACTATTAGTGTATATCAGTGGTTATAAATATTGATAACTATTACTGTATATCAGTGGGTATATATATTGATAACTATTACTGTATATCAGTATTGATAACTATTACTGTATATCAGTGAGTATAGATATTGATAACTATTACTGTATATCAGTGGGTATAGATATAGATAACTATTACTGTCTATCAGTGGGTATAAATAACTATTACTGTCTATCAGTGGGTATAGATAACTATTACTGGATATCAGTGGGTATAGATATAGATAACTATTACTGTATATCAGTGGGTATTTATATTGCTAACTATTACTGTATATCAGTGGGTATAGATAACTATTACTGTATATCAGTGCGTATAGATATCGATAACTATTACTGTATATCAGTGGGTATAGATATTGATAACTATTACTTTATATCAGAGGGTATAGAAATTGATATATATTACTATATATCAGTGGGTATAGATTATTATTACTGTATATCAGTGGGTATAGATTACTATTACTGTATATCAGTGGGTATAGATATTGATATATATTACTGTATATCAGTGGGTATAGATATTGATAACTATTACTGTATATCAGTGGGTAAGGATTACTATTACTGTATATCAGTGGGTATAGATATTGATATATATTACTGTATATCAGTGGGTGTATATATTGATAACTATTACTATATATCAGTGGGTATAGATTACTAGTACTGTATATCAGTGGGTATAGATAACTATTACTGTATATCAGTGGGTATAGATATTGATAACTATTACTGTATATCAGTGGGTATAGATATTGATAACTATTACTGTATATCAGTGGGTATAGATTACTATTACTGTATATCAGTGGGTATAGATTACTATTACTGTATATCGGTGGGTATAGATAACCATTACTGTATATCAGTGGGTATAGATATTGATATATATTACTATATATCAGTGGGTATAGATATTGATAACTATTACTGTATATCAGTGGGTATAGATTACCA